TGAAATGGATTCAATTGGTTGTTATAATAGGTTTAAATGTGTGAAAAAATATCGCAATTACGGGGTCATTACGTAATCGATTTGGCCGTAATTACGGAATTGATTTTTGTGAATTACGTGCAAGCCAGTACTAGTACCATCAAATGATTTTACATTTAAAAATGACAAACCTCGTTTATGTGAATCAACACCTTATTTATTCATGAGTCTCAAGCTTCACCTCACTGTTGCCGTTTCTTGCACAAGCTGCGAATAACGAAGTCAAAACCTAAGTTGATAAAGTTTTACTTGAGATCGATTATGGGGGCAAGCAGGCTGTCTGTGCCAGCAATACTGACCATTGAAAGTGATTTAGTCGGGACATTATCCGTTGACGATATAATTTCTGAATTTGCTTCAATGAAAACTGAACATTGAATTTGGAATTTTCGATAAAATTTACTATTCAATGCTTTAATTCTTCTGTTGTGTGAAATTTTATTCAGCTTTTACGTAGGTGTTGATAGGGCGGCATTTCGCGCAAAGATCTAGGGGCGCCACATTGCGTTGTCACGCCACTGCCCCTTATACCCATAACCTCAAAAATAATTCGGTGGATAAACAGATTATAGTTGTTGTTATACATGAGAATAAATAAATTAAAGGTTAAGTGAGATAGAAAAATTTGCTTTATTGAATAAATATGCAAACTAAGCAACAAACTCACATGTATACGATCAAACTTATTTATTAACAAAAAGAATGTTACATCGAAGACCTCAAATATTTTTCAACTCTGAGAAAGATCGCTCGCAACTAGCAATTGAGAACCCGATTGTGAGTAATAAACCATATGCAATGCACAAAGTGGGGAAAACATGCCATGCTTAACCAATAAAGCAGAAAAATCTTTAAAAGTTTTTTGAAAATCTTTGTTTCCACTTCGGAAAAGCGACGTAACGGTGGACGTTTTAGCAGTCGAACAAACAGTTTTTCTGCCATGGTTTTAACATTGCCTCGTTTTCGCATGCTTTTCGTTAGTTTTTGGTTGTGTTTTGGAAATTTCAGAAAAATCTGATAACTCAATGTCTGTTGGGTTCAAATGTCTATGGGTGCAAATGTCCATGGGTCTAAATATTCATAGGTTCAAAAGTTCATGGGTGCAGGATGTATGTGGATGTACGTTTTCGCATGCTTTTCGTTAGTTTTTGGTTGTGTTTTGGAAATTTCAGAAAAAATCTGATAACTCAATGTCTGTTGGGTTAAAATGTCTATGGGTGCAAATGTCCATGGGTCTAAATATTCATAGGTTCAAAAGTTCATGGGTGCAGGATGTATGTGGATGATAAAATTTGCGGGTGCAAATGTCCGTGGGTACAAAAGTATGCAAATGCAATTGCCCTGGGTGCAAATGTACGTGGTGAAAAGATAATGGAACCCAATGATTATAATGTCTTCTGATGTATTTTAATTGCAGTAACCAAAAATTAGTACAAAAATACCTATGATATGCTAGGCTAATATTTTCTACCGGTAGGCCTACTTTAAAATAACAGGGTTGAATATTTTGAAGTAAAATGATTGTTTGAAACATGTAAACTAGATTAAGATGCTTACTCGCAAAACCACCCTTCAAATGAGCACCTGAAATGTTGAAATTGTAAAATAGGATAGGAAAATTTTTTCTGGGGTCAGTGGTCGGGAAAACATCCATTGTTGACTCTCCACAACTACAGTCAGTCGCACACGACTAAACAGATGATACCAGCTTTTAATTTAATTAAAACACATATAAAAAACATGTATAATGACGCCTATCCTCTACAGGTTGGTTTTGCTGTCCCCTACAACGTGCTGCCCGGAGCGGCTGCTCCTTTCGTCCCCTCTAGGCGCGCCACTGGTGAAAAGCACCCGATGGATGATCTCTCATGAAAATGATAAACATCCCGGAAGCGTTTTACAGCGTGGAAAGAAATTTGAGCAATAAAACCTGATCTATTGACGCCGAATTCCATGTACAAATTGAGGAGGAAAGACAAAAATAGTGCGAGATTCTTGAACAAATATTGAATGGAATAAAGTATCTGGCGAAACAAAATATATTTTAAGTACTAGTTCTAAAATTATTATTGTAAGATCTTGTTATTTCCCGACCGCCCTCTGCTTATTGTTCATTGTGTCGTTATTAAATCGCTTATTATATAATTATATTGCGTGGTTGAAAGTAATCAATTTCATATAAACGAAAAAAAAAGAAACAAGCGATGTAGGGGGCGCATTTTTGAACCTTTGCCATGGGCGCCATATTATCTAGATACGCCACTGGTTCAAAGCAGATATGAAACGAATACTATGTCGCTAAAAGCGGTTACGTGATGTCTTTCTTTAGCCCTTCAAAAATAGTGGTATATGTATAGCCTATACAAGAGGTTTCCTAACTTTAAAAACTCGGGACGCAATTACTATTAAAAATACGAGTGATGATGCACGGAAAATGAATTTTATTTTGTTGAAATTGAAACACACAAATGAGAGGTTTACATTTCATGCAAAACTAACCTATAACACATGTGAGATTTGTGCACATGAACGATTATATATCGCGACTGGATGTTCGATATCTGAGAATGCGAATTGTACTTCTCTTTCAACATTAATTTCAGCGTTCATGCGGTCGAATAAAAATTATTTATCAAATGGATTGATATTTCGCGACACACTCAATATTATTTGAGAACCACTATCACATCATCCGTTTATTTTTTATATTCATGTTTTTCGAGAATCATTCTCGTTGTATCTCGTGTACCTTCGCAAAAGAAAACTCTTTGGTGTCACCGTTACTATTAGTGTAATTTCAGCAGTTGCATCTTTTCTTTGTAGTTTGAGATCTAAAATGGTCTGAATGGCTTAAATGCCTTAAATGGTAAAAATACCGACTAGATAAGCAAGTATAGATATATATATCGTCACGCTAATAACCGAATTGCGTAAGTCATTTTTAGCAGTTTTGAGAAAAACGTAAAAAACTTCCTAATAATATTGTTGTGCCATTGAGAACATGCTAATTGGTAATGTTCGTGTGTTATGAGTTTATTTCGACTCCATAATCAGCAGTAGACAATAAAATAATAGATAAAAAAAATAGCTGGGTATAGAATCGGGGGAGCAAACCAAATCTCAAGTAAGGTTTGAAGTTTACAGATTTTAGATGAAAAGTTATTGATAAAAGAAGTAGTACGTGTTCGCTCACCCAACGCCAAAGCGGGACCGTTGACTGGCCGATTGAGCGCTGGGACAAAACGTTGAAATGTGGGACTGTCTCGCCTAAAACGGGGCGCATAGTAAGCCTCATTATTGGCCAACCGTACTCTTGGTTGATAATTTCTGCTGGACGGTGTGGCGCACCGTGCTAAGAGTTGGCGATACGTTAAATCGTAAATATTTAAATATAACTGATATATGAATATTTTACATATTGTATTTTACATATTATAAATGTTTTATTGTTCCTTATTTTAAATGCTCTATATATGAATCAATAAATTCATATTCTTCTTTTTTTGTCGTTTTCTATCTTTTCGTAGTGTCCGCCTCTATTGTTACGTAACAATAGAGGGAGACACTACTTGCTGCAATTTGGCAGTTGTAGTTAAATTATTTGTTCATTTATTATACATAAACGATCACAAAATTGAGTTTCATGTATAATAGCAGAATTTTTTTACTCTGAATGCGCCGTGAGTTTTTTCCCTGGTAATTTACAGCCGCACGAACGAAAAGTTTGGGAGCCGCTGCCGCCTCCGGCTCCTCCGCGGAGTACGGAAGTGGGTTTGTTGCCTTCCTGAGATGGCCTGTGTGTACGCTACCGTACTGTACTTCGTTGGTGTTTTGCTGTGCATGTGTCGATGTTACGAATTTTTCGCGAAAGACGAATGAAATGGTTCGAATTAGACTACCTGACTTCTGAACTATGGTATTCAGATATGCGTTTGTTTGTATCTTTGCAGCATTGTGTTTTTGGTAATGAATGAATCTTTCTCTGGTATACCTATAACTATAAGTTAAACACAACAAATTTTTTATGTAAAATTATGTTTCTCCATTAAAAATATTACACATATGACAACCGCGGCCACAAAATTTCTGTAGTTTGGTAAAAAAGTTATGTTTTCACATCCTGACATCTTAAATTGATTTCAAAGTTATTGTCCGATTTTGTATTGTATGTATAGCCTATATTTCGTTGTGTTTTAGTTTGTCCGTTTAGTTTTGTTTTATACGTACCAGAGCGACAAAAATAGAATTGATTGATGGTACGGTACCTACCGGTATCGTACTGTATAAGATAATATATGTTTATTTCGATCCCATAATCAGCAGAAAAGCGATAAAACGGGTGATAAAAACAAATAAATAAAAACTGATTATGAAATCAGGAGAGTAAACAAAACCTTGGATAAGGTTTAAAACGTACAGAATATAAGATGGAAGGTATTGCCAAGAAGAAGTGGTACGTGTTCACTCACCCAAAACTACAAGTCTGCAAGTGTTAATACCTTGGCATCTCGTCCAGTTACAGAGTTAGCAGTTCTGCAGTTACTGAACTAGGTATTAAACCATACTGCCATAGCAGATATGTGATATGATATTAGTTTAGCCAGTAATTTGCGGTGCCCATACCGAACTGAACTATTGGCTTTTAGGAATAAAATAATTGTCAAGTATTTGGTTTTGGTTTAGAGATCTTCGGGGTTATATTTGACCAATCGTGCAGCCATTTGATGAAAAAGTTGTCGGTTTAGTTTTTAAATAAGGTGAAGTATATTTTACTCTCCGAAATACCACTATAAATTAATTATGAAAAACTCGAAATGTCTCATTTGGGATGTTCATATATTCTTATATTAGGTAGACTGGAGATATATTTTCCAATAATATTAAAATAGCTGTCAACCAACATATAATCTATCACAAATTTCGAATACAATGATTTGATTCATATTATAATATTTTTTCACTCTTATCTAGCATATATAACACACTGAATACTGCAATAATAGTTGAATGCTGTTTTCAATGGTCAACCATCTGTTTGGTGGATGACCACTAACTACTTGTTTCTCAATACTCTGCGATTTGTTTATGAAAATATATTTGATATATTGTATGAACATTTTCTGACATTGAAAGTTGAAGCAATGGAAAATTATCCCAATTCGGACCAATACATAGCTGGAAGTCTAGTAGATACTTCATTATGCAAATGCACAGGAGTTTTTCCTCAAAAGTCAGTGCCAGAGGATAAAAATTCCTTCTGCTTTATCGGTCGAGATGATGAACCGGAATACAAATGCTATCCATACAAACTTAGCAAGTTTCGTTACTTCCTTATGGTATTAGTTGATATATGCACTGCTGGTTTCATGTGGTTGATGTTTTATTGGAGACCGGATTGGAAGTTGAAATTCACCCATTATCCAAGTACATTTGAAAAAATTGACAGTGTTTATTTGGAAATTCTTGACGGAACCAAACGTGTATTCGTTTCAGCGGTAGAGACTGATGATGTTTCAGTAAAAAAGTGCGCTGCATATTTATTCTGCGGAAATCAAGCTGAAATATCAAGAAATCAAACTTGTGAAGGTTACCAAAATTCTTATGTTAATGAGCGCGAAACGTCAGATGACAGTTGTGGTGGTATTGAACAGACCAAAGTTAAATATTTTTATCATCATTTGATGAGGTACATGTGGGAAGACAGTCTTCAAACATTTATAAAAATCGAAGGATTTGATGGTAATGTTACTGTTGGATATGTTCACGATTCAGCAGAGAATGCATTATCAAAGGAGGAACAATCAGAGTGTTCCAAACTTCATGGCGAAAATACTATTCATGTAGAAGTCCCCGCCTATTTGAAGTTACTTATATCTGAAGTCTTAAATCCATTTTATGTATTTCAAATGTTCGCTTGTATATTCTGGATGGTTGATGAATACGTTGCTTATGCTACTGCTATCATTGTTATATCTTTCATATCAGCTATAATTTCACTCATCACGGTACGCAGAGAAAGACAAGCTCTCCATGACATGGTAGAACTACAGAATATGGCTAAAGTTACTGTGGTTCGAGATATTAAGGCTAAGGAAATAACAGACGGACCTTCTAGCAGTAATGGATCATCTGTGGCTAAGGAATATGTGACAGAGGAAATATGGATAAAAGATTTAGTACCTGGTGATATTATAACGATTCCTCCATCAGGTTTACAGCTTTCTTTTGATGCGGCTTTGATTGCTGGAACTTGTATTGTCAATGAAAGTATGTTGACTGGCGAAAGTATTCCTGTCACAAAGACACCCCTGGGTTCTTCAGAATCTGAGTTGAATAATGTTTTCAATGTTGAGTCTCAAAAATCACATGTATTATTTTCTGGTACGGAAGTCATTCAGACTAGATATTATCAGGATGAAGTGGTTCGTGCTGTTGTTGTGAGAACAGGATATGGAACAGCGAAAGGAAAACTGGTTCACAGCATTCTCTTTCCCAAGCCTGTCAACTTGAAATTACTGAGAGATGCCTATCGTTTTGTTGGTATCATGTGTGGCATTGCAATCATTGGATTTGCATATTCAACTTATACTCAAATTCAACATGGTGAAAGTGTTCGAGATATTTTATTCAAATCAATCGATATTATCACGATTACTGTTCCACCCGCCCTCCCACTTGCTATGACAATAGGAATCATATATGCCCAATCACGACTTAAAAAGGTTCATATCAACACAATCAGCCCTCAACGAATAAATATTTGCGGGCAAGTTGATGTTGTTGCTTTTGATAAGACAGGTACGTTAACTGAAGAAGGGTTAGATTTGACTGATATCGTTCCTGTGTATTCTGACAAATTTGCATCTCCAACTAAACCAGAAAATATCATATCGATGGATAAAAAATCCGAGCTGATAAGGTGTATGACAACATGCCATTCTCTTACAATAATAAACAATGAATTATCTGGTGATCCACTTGACATACAAATGTTCGAAGCAACTGGGTGGAAACTAGTTGAACCTAAAGTTGAAGATGAAACCAAGTATGATCAACTTCAAACTACTTATGTTCGTCCACCACGTGATGTCAACGACATATCTTCGTCAATAGAATTAGTCGAGAATAGCATTACTTCATTTTCCTCCCAATCTGAGTTTGAAATGGGTATCATTCGTCAGTTTCCGTTTTTATCGTCATTGCAAAGGGTCAGTGTTATTGCCAAACCGCTGCATTCCGGACCCAAGGATATGATGGTATATGTAAAGGGTGCTCCAGAAACAATAGCCAAGTTATGTTTGTCACTTCCGTCTGATTTTGCAAGTGTTCTCAAAATTTACACTCAACAAGGTCATAGAGTCATTGCTATGGCTTCCAAGTCCATCAATTTATCATGGGTGAAAGCTCAAAAAATTGAAAGGAATGTGATCGAGAAAGACTTAAACTTTTTGGGATATTTGATTTTTCAAAACAAGTTGAAGCCGTGTTCTACTGCAGTGATTCGGGATCTTGACAATGCAATGATTAGGACGGTAATGGTCACTGGAGATAACCTTGAAACTGCATTGTGTGTTGCTAAAGATTGCAATATTTTGAAATCTAATTTGCCAATACTTGTCCCGAAATTCAGTATGGATTCAATCAATCCGATTTTAACATGGTTTTATATCGATGATTTTGGGAACAAAAATAATTCGTTAGAACGTAGAAAATCTCCATTGTCTTCTTCTGAGGAAAGCAATGATACAAATCACATTATAAACATGGGCGATAGTATCAGTGCCAACATGTGCCAAATAGCAGTTACTGGATTTGATTTTAGTCTCATCCGGAACTATTTTCCAGAATTCATTCCTGCTTTGGCAGTCCAAGGTGCAATCTTTGCTCGCATGTCACCTCAGCAAAAAACTGAGTTGATGGAAGATTTGGAATCTGTCGATTATCATTCTCTAATGTGTGGTGATGGTGCTAATGATTGTGGTGCTTTGAAACGGGCCCATGTTGGATTATCTCTATCGGAATATGAAGCGTCTGTTGCTGCACCATTTACTGCTCGATCCGAAACTGGTATTGAAGCTGTGCCAACATTAATTCGTGAAGGTCGTGCAGCACTTGTAACATCTTTCGGAATGTTTAAATTCATGGCTCTCTATTCCATGATTCAATTCACTACTGTACTGTTGCTGTATACAAATAATTCAAATTTATCAGATTATCAATTTCTTTACATTGATCTTATCATTATTGATGTGGTCGCAATTACCATGTCAAGAAACCACGCATACAAGATATTACACTGGAAAAAGCCACCTACTAGTCTCGTCTGTGCTGAGATGTTGGTATCTCTATTCCTCCAAATATTTCTCCAATTTGGGCTACAATTACTCCCATATATTCTCGTGCAAGACCAATGCTGGTTTAGGACTCCTACATATCTTAATCATACAGAATATGTGAAGTATGAAAATGCGTCCATTCATCAAGAAATTTCCACAACTACTGCTCCTAATATATCTTGTCCCGCTCCTCATCTTGTACTGCCTGAAGACAACTATCAACGTACTTTTGAGACGACTTGTTTGTTTTATGTTTCATCATTCATGTATTTAACAGTGTCAGTGGCATTTTCCAGAGGACGGCCTTTTCGTACTGCAATATATAAAAACAAGTGGTTCCTTATCAGTCTTTTGGTGCTTTCTGCATGTACGTTATTCTTCATGTTTGCAGAAATACCTGAAATGGATGCATTCTTGGATTTATGGCACATTCCCGAATTGGATTTCCTTTTTATTTTATGCGGCATAATTGCTGGACATTTTATCATTGCCCTATTCATTGAACTGTTCTTCATTGAGAATCCTACGCTGTGGAATAACATTAAATTAAAATGTTCTTGCTTCGAAAAAGCTAGCAAGAAAAAATATAAGAATCTTGAATCTATTTTGAATGGAAAAATCACTCAGAATATTGATGATGTTGAATCAAAATTTTCCATTCCCTCTTTACTTGTGGGACAACCTATTTATGCCAAGGCAAAAATAAATTACTATGACTCTTGTGATGGTCCTTTATACAAAACTCAATTATGATTGATTTCCCATGTACCTTTGTATTCTATTTACTATGTTCATTACTTTTAACTTTATAATAGCCAACCCTGTGTGATTTCTTCAATTTAATAATTTGACATTTTTATTACTTCCCATAACTTCCAAGATTTAGTGGTCCACTTACTCATAATATACACCCTGGCACACAGTGTCATTTAGAGAACTTGAAACTAGCTGTGAATGTGATATCCAGAATATGGTACTGGTTATGCTCGGCGAAAACACTTTCATTTTACTGAATTTATCGTACTTACTTGTTCCATTGGAATTAACCTCCTTCCAAAAACATTAATAACAATTTTGATAGAATGTTCGAGCGAAATTCAATAACTTGTCTTTGCTGTCTAAGGTTGGTTTGACTAACTCACTCATCGGTATTTAAAAAAAATGAGAAAATTCCTATTATTACGATCTTATTTAGGTACAATAACAGAATTACTATTATTATTGTGAATTGTGATTTTTCATTGATGCCCATTATGACGCCGCAGCTACTGTGTACAATAATTACTCGTTATTTTAAGACTGATCGTTTTTTTCATTTAGCGTTTTTAAATTTCTTCAATTTGCTGTAATGAAAATCCAGATATGTTGCAAAAATAAATTCCAAAATTATAATTTCTTTGTAAGAAGTCGAAAATTGATTCTGAACTTCCAATCATTTTATTCAATTCGTAGGCTATATTACGCTTCTCGGACAATAATGATGTTGCAACATCTTATTTTTTGTTCTATAATGTGGTCATCTGTTATCCCATTGCTATATGTAGAATTAATTCATTTTTCACTATTGTATACTCTACTATTTTCTTTTATCTCTTTGGTACTCTTCTACTAATTTAAAAAAATGCATTGTGAATGCTTCTTCTGATGAATTATCATCTGTCAAAGTCATTTTAATGGCCTACATCTGAATTGTCAAAATAGAGCAATCTATTCGAACAAAGTTATCTCTTCTCTTGTGTTGTGATTTTTCTTCCTTCCAGCATTTCAATGCATTTTAATAGTATTTTATTGTTACTTGATTGTATCTTTTTAACAATGTAATTTCAATTGCATAGTTAAACCTGTAGCAACATATTTATTCTTGTAACCAAGTAAAAAAATTTAGTAAAATAACAAAAACTCCTTGATATGATATGAAATTTTTTACTGTTATCTCACTTTATTGCACATACTTGGCTCTGCAAAATTAGCTGCTAATACCACAGCTACAGGATTTATTGAAACTGCAATCTTTCTGGTATGGCATATCCTACATTATTTATTGCACACCGGGTGAGGTGATAGGCATGGGGTTTGAAAAAAGCCAGGTCGAACAGAAAACTTTTAAAAAATATTTGGTACTAGGGATCTGATAATTGTTAAAAAAAAAATTTCAAACACACAAAGTTTGAACTACCGTTAACTTGAATTGCAAACCATTGTACAGTTTGGATTATCAGTCAAATTGAAGAATTCAAGAGTATCAAATCTATCGCCTACGGACATCCATATCCAATCTGCAGTGACAAAATTCATTTACCGGTTTTGTAACTTACATTCTTAAAGTTTTTCTGAATTCATTCACTTTGATCTGGCTTAGAGTGTTGTTTATGCAATTTTGTCTTCAAATAGATTTCAATAATTATGATTAAATTAGAATTACACATCATATTTCCTGTTGTGATTATTTGCTTGCTTTTATTAGGCTTATTTTGATGAGATGTTTTTATCATTTTGATCGTAGGATTCATGCTTTGTTATCATTATTTTCACCTCAAAAACACTTTCAAACCATGGTGATGCCGAACAATTTTTCGTTATGAATATTGATAATTTTTTGATTTCTTTTATTAGAATGTCATGTGTATTTTTTCAACAGAAATTAATTAATATTGAATCATATATAAATTGGTATCTGTTCGTACTGTTTTGCATTCATCCAAACACCAACTGCAATTTCAGATGTTTGCATGAAGAAAGTTCAAATAGTCATATTTGTTCTTGCTGAAAAAGCCTTGTTGATAAACTAGTAAGTGTTAATATATTATTTAATTAACAGCATTGATTCTTATAATAATTATCACTTTTTCTTGGTTAACATAAACAAGCAGCTGTGAAATTCTTATTCACCATCCATGCTTGAACGTATCATTTGCTCAGTTTTAGCTGGTAATTTCGTCGTCTGTAGCTTGATCGTATTTTATTCACGGCTCTTACTCAGTCATAAGCCTGATCATCAATGGACTTTGATCTGAAAGTCATGTTTGAGTAAAATGCATGATGTGCAAATGTAGTAATATATTAGTTATCAATGAATTCCTAATTTTGCAGACAATTCTGAAGTTTACATTTCAAAAGTCGTTCTATTTATAATTTACGGATAAAATCATTCCACAAGCTGACCTTATTGTTGTTGTAGAATTTATTTTCATAACAGTATTGCCTCATGTAACTTTTCCTCAAACAATGAATTTTGTATTTTCTCACTAATTCTATTCATGATTTTGAAATATTTTTTTTTATTTTTTCATCCTTCCGCTTATTCGAATTAATTCAGGTATGATGAGGAAATGTATATTATCAATTAATATTGCTGACAAAAAATTTGTCAATCAAAATTTTGTTCATTATTTTGTGTTTGAAGAAATTTTTTGTATTTTGTTTGACATAGAGTCATTTTTTTGCTATAGCATAGAAATCAAATCCTTGTTGTGATGTCTTATTTTTAGAAACCATGAGTTATTACTCCAGTCGAAGTAATGTTCTCGGAGACCGAAGTCAGAGAAGCAGAGCTTTGAGAAAAGACACAAACGGTAAATGATTTATCTCTTATTATCACAAAGACGTTTCAATAATTTTAACGTCAGTTTTTATAATGCTCTATCCTTTTCACCCTATCGGCATACAATACATTATGTACATAAAGTTAGTAGCAAATTGCATTCCTATGGGTTACATATTACTTCTAGTCACGCAACTGTTCTGATTTATTTACCTGAGGCAAACTAATATTACAGGTAAATAAATATTTTAGATGAAAAACTTGCTTTACTATCCCCATCCATAAATCAATACAAGTTTACTACTCTGGTCCTATGGCCTTTAAATGATATTCAAAATGCAATATTTCATGCTATCTGCACGTCAAAGTTTTGTTCTCTTATACTAACTCTGTTCAACAAGCCAATATATGATTTGCAATAACCATCCCATGTCAAATATTTGTCCGGTTATTTGATGTGGTAATTTATTAAATTTGGTCTTATTCAATGTTTTGTATATCTTTTTTGAGTTTTTTGTTCTTGTTCTGAAATGATTTAGGCAATTCACTGGTGATGGACTATGAAATTCTCTCTCCTACATCTTTTATATGTTTTTTCAAAGAAATCTTGTTTGACTTTTACTTTAACACTGGAATTCAAATTTAGGTATCACAATGTTGTGACAAAATATTGTAAGTTGTATGAGTTTTTTGAAATCATTCATTGTATTGTTTCGTACATTGTGCATGCATATTTGCGTTAAGAATGTTCTTGTGAGTTGTCCGCAGAATCCTGCACATCATTGGGGCTAGTAATTGAAGAGCGATTTCAAAACCCATATCAAGATTTACCAGTTTTTGCTTTAATTACAAATACCATTCAAATATGGCATAATGTTAGTTCACATTGTAATCTGGAAATTCAACTTCAAACTTCACTTTTCCATTTTATGATCTGTAAGTAATCTTTGGCATTCTATTCATAAGTTGTCCTATTTTGTATATATGTCAAGTTTCAGTAAATAGCAATCCAAGCATGCGGTTGAATAATTCACATTTTTGGGAATGTTTCACCACAACATCTTGAGATTGAGTGCATTTGTATGAAAGAAATCATTATATTTCTGTGTGCATTGTAGCGTGTAATAGTCATGTCTACATTTCTCACATACCTAATGAAATGTAACATTATATTTGAAAAATTCAGGAATATAGCTAAATGTAATAGTCGTTTTTATTCCATAAACAACAAATATCACCTATAGAGTATGATCCACTTACAGTTTCAACAATTAATGAGTAACGTGCTTTGGTGCTTTACTGTGGTCACGTTTGATTTTCCTGTTGCGATTTCAGCTCATAAAATTGCTTTTATGAATCTATTGTTTCCGTTAGAAAGTTTGGTTTTTTCTTCCCAATATGCCTACTGATACATTTTATACAGTGCTTTGTATACAGAATAAAACTGTATATGAGCATGCTGAGTTCGAGATCCTTGAAAGTGTAAGTTAACTTTGGTTTCCTAATCAGCATAACACATTTAAATAGTCGATAAAAATAAATAAATAGAACCTTACAAAAGTGAGGTTTAAAACATACAGAATTTAACTAAAAATCTAATGACTACTAGTACACTCTATTGTTCATCACAGAAGACTATAACTAACTCTAGTAAAAACATTTTTTCCTTTTTTTTTATTTGAGCTATAGGCATGGCTCTTTCGTGATAGAGGAAACTGTCATGGCTTGTATGTATACAAACTTCTGGGCAGACAGAAGGTGGATAAATATCTTTTTAATACACTATTGATTTTAGAGACATTATGCATTTTGAATACGGTGACTACGGTTTGTGTCTAGTTGAAGTGCAATCACATCGTTAACATTATGCTCTGAACATTCTGCTGCATACTAAATCAATCTAACTATTATTAAATGTCATGCCCTATTTACCATTATTTACGATAATCTCATAATAAGGGCTGAATTGATCGATTGCTTTCTACAAACAATTTTTTGTAAGCAAATATAAATATTATATTTTGAATCGTAGCAATATTTATATACACGGAAGATAAAAAATATTTCAAACAGACTGTATGGTATGCTTGACTGCATAGTCCATTTATTAGAAAATTCAGACTTCAGTAATCGAAAATCAAAGCTAGTGTTGAAGATGTCTAAATATTCTAAATTCAATCTCTAAAACAACTCCTATTTGGAATAATAACATTCAAGTATGTATTAAACTCTATTGCTTGTGAAGGAGTTGCTCTTGTAACTAGCAATTTGTTCCATCATCTCGATTCTTCAGAAAACACTCATTTCAATCTGATTCAACTAGGTAAATTATGTCAGTACAATATAGCATGTGATAAACTGTATTGTGCACATGCTGCAGGTATTCCTATGAGCATTATTGTTGCAATTCCTACTATCTTACCCATGATGTGGTGGACAGGTACGCAATGTATCTATATATTAACTATTATCCAGTAACAAAATAAATATGCAAATAAGTGGCTGTTTATGCAGTGACTTGTTCATAGCTGACGAAGTGGGGATTTTGGATTCAGTTAGATTCCTTAGTATTGACCTTTTTATCACTTTAATATAATCTACCTTAATCTTGTTAAAAATCAATAACTCATTAAATTGATTTGGTTTTGTTCTCCCAGGTGATGATTGACGGTAGTAAAATAGTTTTGTTTTTAGGATTCAACAAAGAATATAGTTTTTTATGTATTTCCGTAATCTAATATAAAAAATTTTAATTTTTTAACAATGAGAAGATTGTGTTTAAATTTTATGAACATTATCAACAAAAATTATGTCCCTAATACACAGTTTAAAGTTTCTCTTGGAAGCATTTCTCCTCTTTGTTAATGATGATTTGAATATTTTGTGAGTCCCAAGTCTCCACAGATCTTTTCTTTGTTGGGTAGTTACAACATCACTCGTAGCATGATTTTGTGCATATCACTGCTTTTATTTTCACCTATTTTGATGATTTGCTACTACTATTTGCTATCTGTTTTATATTGATATTTTGGTGTGCAATATAGTATTACTACATGGTACTGTTCAGAGCCTACCTTGTTCGATTATTTGTAATGGTTACAATTCAGCAGGCCAATCTGTTCATTGTAAAATAATAAACAACAAAGCAATGCCTAATATAACCATCACATTGTCAGCTGAATTCTGGGCAAATGTAAAAGGATTATCGTATACGAAATGTCATATCAAGGTATGCCGTGAATTATAAAACCAGCAAAATTTGCAGTGAAACCTCTAGATTTTGTAGTCAATTTAAACAGAATGAAAGTGATAGTCTTCCAGCGACTCCTCTCGTCTTCTAGTGCTGAAAAATTTGAAACCCAACTTTCGGGGGTATCAGTCTCTCACAACCATGACAAGAACAACAACAATTTCTGTTCAATAAAACTAACGTTAATTTAATGTTAATCATAAAATTCGATAGCGAATATTAAGTCGTTGCGGTTAAACTTAACATTAAGATGTAGTTTTTTTCATTGCAAATGGTCATTTTTCAACAGAATCATATATATTATTTCATATACATGCTAATTTGAATTAAAAATCATGAACAGCATCATAACTTAAATTATAATCAATTGCTTGAAGGCAATTTGTCAATCAATTCAATTTTATCATGGTGGTACTTGTGTGGGTTTTGCCAAATTCAAACACTGTCTGTCTGGTATAAATTGCATATGCATTACTTAAGTATATGCTTTGAGTACTGAGGCCCTAACATACCATTATTCATTTACATTACTTTAATTGTAGATCAGTTGAACAAAATTACCACATTCATACAATCTTACTTACCAAATTTGCAATTATCTATAATTTTTTATTTGCCTCTGGGCATGATTACATTTCATGTTGCGCAATTGTTTTAACATTATCAAATTTATATCAGATTTATGACTTATACCTTAACTTAATAGCAGAAAATAAACATTGCCATTTTCAATTTTTCGAACTTTAAACCCTTTTTGTTTCGGGATTTCTCTATATGAATGGTTAACTTATGTGAAGGAATCTTTGCTACTGGTATTACAAATACAAAACTTTACTCATGATAATGTTATCTGCTCATAAAATAACCATATAAATTAGAAATATATTGTCATGACTAGACTTAGCATTAACATCCAATCAAAGATGCCCGAATCCAAAATTCAAATCAATTCAAAATTTATTAATATTCAATATACCGTAGTTAATTCTTGCTTTTAGGAAAAATTTGGAATATTTTCATATGGAAATATGTCAGACAGAAAATAGACTTATTCAATTTCTAACAGTGTGGAAAAATTTAAAAAAAACATAGCTTATAATGCTATTGCATTTATTTATTGATGTACATGGACATTGAAACAAAGTCAGAATGTATAATGTACGTTACTAAATTCAGTTTTCTGTGGAAATAATCCATTTTAAAATATATCCAATATTGGAAAATAGTATTGTAGAATATATATCAGGAATTGTGATTTGTGAATAATTTAGTTATGGCCATTCCTGCATCACAGTAACAGATATAATTTGAAAAAAGTTAATTGTAAATAGATAATTTGTCTTGAAAGGAAATCTATTATTTTAAGGTATTCTATTCAATCAATTCAATTAATCTGGAACAGTTTTTGCTGTTTGATAACGCTATACAAATTTGATGTAAAAATTTTAATAATGTTGCATTGTTTTTCTAGGAGTTGAAAGTAACACAAATGGAAACAATAACAGCAGTGATGTGTCGAAAGGTATCGATTCTTATATCAACAACTATGCAAGAAGTACAGGAGATCATTCACACAGAAGTATAATGAATTTTTAATGTGTGCATACATGAAATCTGACATTATTCCTTGTAGATTCTTATAGTTACAGATAAGACCACAGGGTCAAAAGTGAGCATCGAAAAAAAAATTTATTTTGATTTTACATAAGAGCCACCTGCACATTATGTTTGGTATTTATTTTTTCTTGGTCTTTTGTCATCACTCCGAACAAGGCATTGTACAAGCGATTACTGATATACTGATATATAGTTTTGTTTTAAAACAGTTTTTCCCAACTTTTAGGGCGCAACCTAAAAATTATTTTGGGTGGCTTGTATTTTCACAGCAAAAATACTTGAACATCTATTTTGTTAAGTAAAGCCTGTTTTGCGTGTTTTCAGAATGTAATTTTTTATTAGAACATGTTAGTTTTCTATTCAATTTTATCACGCTGGAAGTTCTTTGCAGTGAAAATAATAATCCATGGTTTTGTTTTTATACGGTATGTACCACATCCCAGACAATGTTGCCCAAGCTTTCAAATAGATTTCAATACCTTTTCTTCATTACAGGCAACCGGTTATCTACCAGTGGACCAAGAAAAAAGTCTTCTCTTGTGGAATCCATGGCAGCCAATTTTGAGCAAAAAAAGAAAGGTACAATTGTTTTATTTAGTTGGTAATGCTAGTATTAAGTATGCAATTTTGCAGGTTAAGCAGTTATTGAAGTATATGCCAAGCTGGCATTTATGCATTACGAAAAAATATCTAAATATCTAATGAACAAACTATGAATATGACATCGTGAGATATTTAAACTACTTATTGGGATCGTTGATTTGAGGTATTCAAATCCAATGCCCACTACCTTACTATAAAAGTAAAAAATTGGTAGACAATGCCAAAACAGGACGAGTCTAGTTTGTCAAAAATAAAGTAGTTCTTCACATAGCAATAAATGCTTATACAGAGCCATGTTTGGAGTGGTCTGCATATGAAAGCATCATAAAAAATAATGCCTGTTTCAAGGAAGGCTCTGTGTGAAACAACTGTGCTTTTAGGAGACTATGGTTCTTTCTGCTTCGATATAATCCTATCTTCATTATCCGTGTCATGTGATGCACAGGAAGTTTCTGTCTCTGTTTTTACTTGCTTCAAAGTTTATTTTATTGATTACTGCATATCTGTTACATCAAAGGGAAACTGTATCTTTCATTTCCTTTTGGCAAATAAGAATTTAATTTAAATTCAAATAAATTTCACCCTTTTTTATTGTGTTTTATTCTACTAAATACCCATATGTAGGAACTCGTTAATAACGTCATATTATTGCAAATCTTAAAAATTACCTTTATATTCACTTGAGTTTGAAAACTTGAATCTATCTGAAAAAAATTGATTTTTCGAATATTCAGAAAAAAACTTTCTTTTAGTATTTCTTTGATATAAAATATCTGCATGAATCATAGACCATATGTAATCGAAGAAATTAAGTTAATTTTCTATTGATGAAACAATTATTAACTTCAGAATCATCAAACTCCAGTCAGACGTCATCAAGTGCGAATAATAAATCTATTTCACTTAATAAAGTAGAGAATACACCGGTTGTCATGGGTCTACCTCCACCAAGTCCAAAAACAAAAACTTCACCTCAGAAATTAGAAAACGGAACATCATTACAAATTGAAGAAGAAGAAGGTAATGTATAAAAAACTAAAAGTAATAAATACATGGGATAGCAAACGATACTGTGTAGCAGTGTTTCTCATGCGATACCGTGTAGCAGTGTTTCTCATGCGAGGCCCTCAGCCAATCTGGGGAACCAAGAAGTGGTTTTCTGTGGGCCATGGGCAAAGGCCGTTGTATAACAATCCCGATAACCACATTGATTTAAATTTAAAGTAAATAGAATGTTATTTCTTTACTACTTTGACTTTAATGCTTTCATTTGATTGCTCTTTATTATTAAACATGGCACATAAAATAACTGATCGAAATGTGTTGAAAGCAAAACCAGGTATTTTTCTAGATGAGCGAGGGCCACAAAATTTGAGAATCCTCGGAAGTGGGCCATGGCCATTGTGAATGTTTGAGAACTACCTTACTACTTACTGTATAGTAATATTTATAAAAATATGAAATGTACTATAGAATCAACTTTTCATTTTTCTTTGTTGTTGATAAAACTTTGATGAGCATTTTTTTACTCCTGATGTGTGACACACTCATTTATAGCTACCGTAAGAAATTTTGAATATTTTTTTTCTTTGGAGTAATCCTATTGCAATAAATATCTAACTGGTGATTAATCTGGCTTATTATCAAACAGTAATCAAAAGTGTTGAAATGACTTTTAAATCTATATTGTTAAATACACTTCAGTCACAGTGACATTGAAATCTCACTGTCTCATCAGAGGCGGCATTCAGAGCAAAACAGAAATTATCAACTTTCCTATACCTAAACTTTCTCATTATTCTCTAATTATCTCTCTTATTAATCTCTAATTTTTGCACTTAATTGATATTTTAAAAAGCATTTGGATCCAGTAAATTCAATCCTTTTTCATCTGACAATTACATGCCTGCACTCTGAATAAGGCTCAGTACAAGTATCCACTGATATTTACATTTAGAATTCTCATTGCCTGTCACACCATTATATTATTCTGTTTTCCTTTTACCGGTACTTTTCAGAAAAAAAAAACATGAATTCCTATTAAAAACAGAATTCTATTTCAGAATACCATCTGGTAGTCATTGATATTTATACCCTCCTAAATCTTTGATAAAAAAGTTTTTTCTGCCCTCAATGACTTTGAATGATGGAACCTCAAGCATACCTCAGATAGCAAATGAGAGATATTGAGCTAAATTGGGTTGAGTATGTCGCACCACAGTAATGCATTACCTCCTCCATGACGCAAAGCATTTTGTTATTCGCTGGCACCTTTCAGCTCCAGTATCGAGAAAATACCTTTACTTCACCACCAGTGTAGAGGGCTTACCTATCTGGAAATACTTGCTGGATTAGCTAGATCTACCAAGTATGGTCCTAATAAAAGATGATCTGTGTATCACCATTTCCATGCTTGGCAAATCAACATTTCTCAACTGCTTATTCCCTCCGAATATGCAGCTGTCAGTATAATTATAAAACGGTCATGGTTGTTGCTCATGTAAGATGAAATGAATATTGTTGCATTATAATGTCTGAGAGAGGTAATACACAACGAACATTGTGATCTTTTTGTATGATTATTTAGAGCTCTATTTACTGCTGTAGATTAAGTTAGTTAATACTAAAGTAGTTATTCCTATACTGCTTCTAGGTATTGCACAAGGTGTAATGTTGTCTAGAAACAACATGTATGCAGCGTCAGTATCTATTAGCGATGTTCACGTCCAAATGGTTTGATATTCTAGAATTTCCTCGTGCAATTATTTTTGAATTTGCAGATTATATCTATTTGGCAACAAGTCATGATCAATTTTTTTGAATTTTTTTTTAGCATGAATCATTATTTTAGTGAAAAAAATGTAGTATTCGCTTAAATAACAGCAGTCAGTTCTTTGGATGATGGCATTATTTTTGAATGTTGTTTTGAATATCTCTTGGGCCTTTAGCCTAATATGAAGAATAGTGTTAGTTTTTCTCCAGTTATATGGGTATTCTTTTGTTGCCTATTTGTTTGCCAGCCAAATCTTAAATAGATTTGTGTGATACTTGAGGCATTGTTGGGCAGGTTACCTGTGTAAAGGCAGAATAGATACAGAATGTGTATGTGTAAAGGCATTGATGAATTGAAATCAATTTTAAAACTTGTATAATGAAAGTTGTATAATTTTACTACCTATTTTATTCCTTTATAAAAACTAGGGTTACCATACAAACAATATATTGCATTAAATTATGTTAATTGTATGTGTCTTTGTTTTTTGGTTTTGTAAGATTATAGTAATCTACTTCAATTTTATTTGGAAAAGGTTTATCTTGAGAATTCAGATAATCAAAAATATTTTATTCAATTAGTATATTACTCTTGCCTCAAAGTTTTTTTAAAAATCGTCAGGTGTTAATCTGTGCTGAAATATATAGCAATTAAGATCTCCATTTTCTATTTATGACATCTAGATGTTCCGAGTCCGTCACAGTCTCGAGCAAGCAAACCAAGCTCGAGTGCAAGGCGAGGTAAACAACAAAGAGAAAAACGAATGTTGAGACAAAAACGTCGGAGTACAGGAGTCGTTCGTTTAAAAGATGACGATGATGAAGAAGTTAAAAAGGAAACTCCAGAAGACAATACAAAAAAAGATGAAAAGGTTTTATTAAGTTCATAATTTTTCTGAAATAGGAGATTGGATTAAATTGTTAACTAAGAACCTTCCTATTTCTTCAAGTATTAGTAGAGGTGCTTATGATGTCAGCGCGGATCGGCTGACTGCTTACTTTATAACTTGTATCATGTTCTACATACATGCTTCTCAACTGGGGGTTAATGGACCCCAGTGATTTTCACATAAATATTTTAGGGTTTTTTGAGCTTTGCATGCATACGTTGAAAACAAAATTGCAAATTTGAACTACCGACACTTGTCGTTTTGGTCTAGTTAGCGAGAGAATGCAAACCAGGCGTACTGGCATAAGCCAAGCTATAAGTAGCGTAAGATCTTATTAATACAAACAAACTTGTTTATTCACTTGAAGTTGCAAACTCATTCAAGTTACGATTCTGTGAAGTTCAATAGAGCCTTCACTACTGTTTGTTCCAAAACGTATCACAGAAAAGCAGTTTTCATGATAGGAATTGTTTTTAGTAGAGACTACTTGTACTTAACAGAGGGGTTCATACTGTATTGAACCAATGAATTACATCTGCAGCACCCAGCCATATAGTAATTGGCAGGACAAGGAAGTCAATAAGCCAAGCGACCGCGATATAGGTTATTCTTTCCTGTTTATAATTTATCAAATCCGATAATAATATTAATGTAAATATTTCAAATAAAATTTATTCATTTTAGAGTTTAATTTCGAAATTTGAAACCATTATATCATAGTTTTGAGTCCTGTATTTGGGCGAATGGTTCATAGTAGTGGCAATACCAAAAAACCCTTATGGCCATATAGCCAAATCTGAAGTCCAGTTAGATGTGTGGTAAAACTAAAGAGCCAGAGCTGGAGATACGGTTCGAATATATACATATTTTACGAAACATAAGCCGTGCACTTTAAATCCTTTTTTAACTCAAAAAGCGCCTTATTAGGAGGTGCGCCTAATGTATGGATCAGGGAGTGCTTTATGTTTTATTTCCTACACCCAGAACCAGTACCAATAATATTTCAATCTAAGCAATTTCTTGACAGTATTGGCGTAAAATACGGTATGAGGCTCCCAAGCCATTGTGATGTCAAACCAGCTCCCAAGCTCTGTCTTGAATGAGTAGCTGTAATTCATCTTGTGATTATTTATTCGAACATTGGAATACTACTGATAGAATAAAATAAAGAATGTCTTAATCTTTGTTCAATTCCCACGTTTTATTCAGTGTTATGAACATATTGAATCATATTCAATTGATTATATAGATAGATGGGTAATTGATTTTTAATACTCAGATTTACTGGTATTGTTTTTCAATATTCATGATCTTTACTTTGTTATAAACAGCTGTATTGATTTTTGTTGATGACATTGCAGTAAAGTAATGTTATGATTACTTCACTGCAGTCACACTTTTCTTTGTAAGATGGAGTATTAGCAGTGAATATTCTATATTTTTAATATTCTGTATATTCCAACAACTTTCAAATTCAATTTCTTGTTCTTTGTTTTGAGAGATTCTATTAATGTCTTCAGATTGTAAAGTACGATTCCACTACTAAATGTTAAATGTCCAACGGCCCAAATAAATATTCATATATATATATAATATATAGAATATGTTATATATATACTGCCTTCTAACTGATTAGAATAGCTGTCCTCTTTTCTGCTACGGCATCCTTGTATTATATGCTGCGTACAGATCCACCTGCTCCAAAGCATATGATAAGTAGTTGTTCCTGCAGAAAATCCAATTGTTGTGAACTTATCATTTTGTGTTGTTAATTTAACGGTGAAGGAGCTGTGTTATATCTATTGAAATATTCAATCGAATCGAATATTAAAATTACTGTAGTCGTGTTGAATAGTAAATTCTTGCTTATATGATTAGTTTTTTTTCGAAAATTTATCATTTTGAGCCTTTTGTATCTGAAAATCAGACGAAACCGCATTAAATTTCTGACACTGTACAAAAGTACAAAATCAAACATATGAATAATTCTGCCTAATAATCCTTCAGTCACTATGAGTTTACTATCCTTAATTCGAAGAATATGGCCAATTTTAAAATACATTATTCAATATTCCATATTTGAAAATATTCTTTTAGAATGTGTTGGGAATAGTAAATTGTTCTGTTTTGGCCGTCCCTGTTGACAATAAAATAGTTATGATCATTTTAAACCAATTTTACAATGAACAAAGTGTTATTTTGTATTGTTAGATCCTGAACTCATACAGTCATACATCCAGTCACACCAAGGTGTCTAATTTTGCTAGATTGAGAATTAAACTACAATATTTTTTAACGACAGGATGATGAAGTAACAAGGAAGTCAGAAACACAGAGAAATACGTTGTCAAACGAACTGTCACCAAATTCATCAACAAGTGGTGGAAGTACTCAACTTGATCGTTCTTATGTTGAACGAACAGAAAGGTATAGGTAATGTTGTATGAACTAACCGCTAGGTTGGTATTGGTATGTTGTGCGGTTTCAATGGCCTTATGCAGGAGTGTGCAACAGGCCACCTGTGGGCCACAACTTGACCCGCCATGCCATATATAGTCCCCGTCATCACTGAAATTTCATCATCAAGTATTAAATCCTATTTTGACAGTCTATGTTTCAAAATGCGCTCACATGGGTAAAAATTCATGTTTTTTTGCCGTTGTCGCTGAGTTGAATCTTTCATCGTTTTGCCCGGTGCCTTTATTACTGTACGGCTAAGCAACACTAACAGTCTTATGCCCAAAAGCATGATTTGAAAAGTAAGAATATTAATGAAGGGAAATATAAGCAGGGTAAACAGTACTATATCATAATACGTATAAAGTTTAAAACTTCAAGCAATATGCTGACAAATAGCGATTACTATACCTGAATATCAAGTGGGTTCCTAACTTCCTACCATGCACACTTATAAGGCACTTTCGCTGTAATCAATTTCAAATTTCCGGTACTTAAAAGATGGAAAAGGTTGCTACTATCACTTTTTGTTTTGAATACTACAGGCCTGATATTTTATGTGAAATTTTGATGGATTTTGTATTTCACGAGCACAACTTTGTGTAAGATTCATATGGGATTTTACAGACAACTGCTGTGGCTATATTTATCATTTGGCTTTCGTGTCCATGTATTTGGGCATTGCTATTTGTTACTTCACACACTATACTGTATTACCATACTAAATTTAGATCATTTCACAGACATGATCTTTTCCTTATACCAGTCAGGTTATTTATAAAAATATATGATTTCAACAATGTATTAATTTTTAAAATTACAGACCCCGAAATTATGACACAAGTGCGAGTCAAGCATCATCATCGACTACTTTTAAGGGTTCATTAAAATCTAGCACAACATCTGCAACGTATGTTACGCCTTCACATTCTCATCAATATAGTGATAACGTTTTCTTATCTCCTGATAAAGAAGAAGAAAGCAATAATAATATTTCACCTAATTCAACAACTATGCCTATGTTAAATTCTTCTAGAAGAAGAGGAAAACGGTCTTCTACTGAAAAATCACAACTTGAAGTTAATGTAGGATTTTATTTTATCAAAGATATGTTTTGAATTTGTGATTAATACATAGTTTGTCTCTTGTTGTTCATGAGTGTTTAGTTTCTGATAGTCTCAAGTTTTATTGAAGTAATTTTTGATTGAAGCTTTTTAAGTTTATGTTATATGTGGTTGACCAGGTTAGGGTATAATTTTATTTTGATTTTCCTTTTTTTTGTTATAATACGAGTTCGGGGGCTCTGCCCATAGGTTTCAGTCCCATTACACAACTTGATGTAAATTAGGCGAACATAATTAGTTACCTCCATAGTCATACACACACTTCTGGAGCGCCCATGACTTTGCTCAGAGATACGTCTCCTCCATTCCTCAGTGAGTGTGCGTGAACTTGCTTTATTTAAAAAGAAATCTTCTTTGACATTAGCCTTGTCTATCTTACAAATGATTCATTGTGTAATTACTATTAGTTTCACAAAGTTTTTTTGTATGATTTATCACGCTAATTAAAAATTCGTTTTAATTGTTAAATTCCTCTGTATGTAGGCTACCTATGATTATATCTAATAATATTGCTCTCAATTACAAATAAACCCATAAAATACTTCAATTAAACGTTTGGTTTCAATTCACAGGGGAAACGAGAAATAGATGAACTTCGTGAAAAACTGTCGACTGCAGAAAGTACTATTGCTAAATTAACTAAAGAAGTCGGGAATATGGATATTGTAAGTTGATTTATATCTTAAATTCGCATGTCTATGAATTTCACATATTTGTACTTGAAGGTCGTGTTCTTGGTCAAATTGGCAGAACTTTGATTGTTGTTGTAGATTTTAAATATTCTGTCATGCATTGGTGTATAATTCCATTATTTCTCTCTTGCTGTCAACCTTTTCACAGACAGTTTCGACTTGTATATTGCTGCTCGTATGAATATGTATTAATTAATGCAGTGCTTTTTTTCCATGGTGACCCACTTGGTACGACCAAATGTTTTCGCTATCGAGACACAAAAATAAAACAGAATTTAATAATATAGAAAATATCCAACTATAGTAACAATAATTTTAATGAGATTGATGTGCTTCCTTTTTCTCGTACGAAAGAGCGAATCTTGGCTCAATTTCGGTAATGGTGGGTCACAGTACTGGTTTCAAAATTTGATCAATATTTTGTTCCAACATGAGTTAGTGTCGGAAAAGATTTACCGCAACCCCTCATCCACAACCCACTGGGAGGTCAGGAACCCCAGTTTGAATAATAATGATTTATAACTAATACTGTTCATGTACTGCTATTATTTCAAAACATACAGTTCTTTTATCCAAATTCATCTTGTCACTCTGTGCTACACCTTATAATAAGGAGTTGTGCACTGCACAACAGGGTTTCGGAGGGGGATTTAAACCAGATTCCAAGTTCTGAGCCATTTCATTAATGACTCCATCCTCCTGGTTTACAAAAATTCCAACTTTGACAATCTGTTGTCTGTTGAAAATATCAACATGAAGCTTTTACATTGTTAGATGTAGGAAATTCGACAACCGATAACTTCACCTTTTGGGCCTTAATCCCAATGCTCGGAGTTCATAATTATGACCCTGATATCAATAAAAGCATGGTGAACTCCCGATTTCACAGTCGTTCAGCGCGGCATTATAGAAAAGTAATGAATCTTCCAATGTTTAAACTTGATTAAATTTACTTCAGGAACTTCAAAAACTTGAGGAAGAAAATGGACGTTTACATGTTGAAAATAAAATGCTGGAAGACGAGAATCGTTCCATGTTGATGGTTTTAAAAACCATAAGAGAAAAATCAAACTGAAAATTTTTGAATATTATTATTAAGTTTTCAACGTAAACGCCAGTGTCTGAGGGGGAAGAGTTCTATCCAATGGATGGCAAATTACTAGTTTATTCATTGTTGGTATTGTTTTGCAGACAGAATAATATATGCTTGTTTTCTATTGGTATTATTCTGTCAGCGTAGCACTCGATCAAAAAGGAAAGTTTTTGGTCAGAGTGTTTATATTTAATTGTACTGAACTGAAAAGTGTTGACCTGGTGCTCTTTTGAGCTTTTCTCACAACATACACAAAATAAAAACTTTTCTAACTTTCAAAAGCTATCAAATTATGTAATATATGCAAGATTGCCAAGCTATGTCAGGTCCACAGCATACCATGTTTGGGCCACTTATTTGCTTGTCCAATGCCTATGTCCAATATGATGATTTTTGTATATTTTTGAGCAAACCGGATGGATTTCAATATGTAATTAACTGATTATTTTGCTGTGAACAGTGCATTTTACGAATAGGTTATTTCTGAGTCGCTTTTGTGTTCCAGTGATTTTAGCTCGCAAGTTAAACTTAGAGCTACGATTCAAGTGTTTACCTAATGCAGTTTATTCCTGCCTATCTGCATACTGTTCTTTCACTATTTTAATAAGATCGGCGCTTTGCACTTGTATCCATACTGCCATAGTTTCATCTTTTTCCCTGTACACTGGTGTTGTTAAATACAGATTGACCCAAGAAGAAGAAATCCATAAATTTCTTTTTTACTTCCATGAAAATGAAACCAAGTGAGTGATTGACATTTTTGCGCAACAGATTACAAGTCTATCTCTATTGCTAAGGTGGTAATTTAAAACTTATTTCAGAAAGAACATGAATTTTGTGCAAAATGTCCTAAATTTCTGAAACTTGGGTATAATCATACACGAACAGAAGTGTAGACATAATTGAAAAATGTACTCAATTTTTGTAGGAGTAATTTAACATGGGTTTGGTTTTTGGGGTCAAGTCACCCTTTAGTTATATTTGATTTGTTACAATCATAGGGTTAACGAAACTTGACTTGAATCTTTATTTAACCAGGTGACGATTTTTGCAAATAAAAAAGCGATTCTGAATTCCTAAAAATATTTTATATTTGGCTCTAGTTTGGCTTGAACAATTTATTAGTAATCTTTGTTTCTAACTATGTTAGTTGATTGAAATATATGCTTTCTCTCTTTCGCTGTCACTCAAAATGTCAAACAGAAAAATATGATTAAAAAGATCCGAATACATTTGGAATAATTTATATTCAACTGGAAATTGGTGTTGAGTTCGGTGCTGTTGCTAATATTCAATTTTATGTTGTGTATTTGAAAAAATGATTTTCAGAGTAATAATTTATTTCGCTATTATTGGTTATGACATGCTTGCAGTTTTATCCCTTAGAATGCAGTATACTATGTTTCAATGTAGTTGAATCCAGTAATGTTTAACTATGCCTATTGCCAGTAAATCTGTATGCAATGAATGCAAGGATACTAAAGAAAAATTAAAACAGTTCAACAAGAGAAATTCAAATTTTTTTTCTATTTATTTCAACACGCATTTTGTTTATATCTAAGAATTTTCGAAATTTACCGAAAAACATGAAATCTTAGTGTTAGCTTTCAAAATGAAAAATTGAAATATTAGACATTACAGTGAGTGTTTTCAATATTTAAGTTTGAAAATACCTATAAAATAGTGTTTTTTTCTATTTTTACTCATTATATGCTGGCTAATATATTTTCATGAAGATATATTCAAGAAGCTTAAGTCTCCCGATAGATGATTTTTGTTGGAGAGAATATAGAATTGGACAATAATCTTAACGCCATCTCCTATCTTGAAATGGATTTAGCAAGAACTTTTTGCACAATATATGGTGTATGCCTGTTTTCAAGTGATAAATTTTATTTTATCTGAATAATATCTTTATTATTTTAAAAGTGTATTTTTGCATTTTCAGGTGCTAATAAAATAATAGCACATAACTTTTAGTAAATGTATTTTCATACCTCCTGTAATACTTTTAAATCTTGCCTATCGTGAGTAGTTTTTTATTTTCATTCCACTCAATAAGTTTTAGCTTTTTTTTTTGTTCGGTGCTATATTTTAAGTATGTTTTAGACCAGGGTGGTCCAAGGTTGTTGGCTCCGCGGGCCACAAATTTATTTTTTCATTGTTTGAGGGGCCACAATAGTGCCAAGAATAGGTTACCACTTACCAGACATAGCCATCTCAGGCTGATAGAATCCGCATTCGATTTTTAGTTTTCTATAATTCCTATATTGTTAGCATATATTCCCGACCAAAAAGATAGAAAGCCAGATAATAATTTAGACTGCCAAGCACATCATTCAACTTCGCTATTTGCCTCTGCTAGCCATAACACAGTCAATTCAGTGACATCACATTAGTGATGTAAGAATATGTCAAAAGATTTTTCTGATTAATTTTATTACGAAACAACATGAAATACGATTTATTGATTACTCTCCGAATGTCACGCGGGCCACACATAATGCGGCGGCGGGCCTAGGTTTGGACCACCCTGCTTTAAACAATCTCAGATGAGTTTTATTAACATTCGGTGGTGTGATCATTTTTGTGTATTTGAAGAGGGTTATCGTGGATTTTATTTTCCATCGGAAAGTAATTTGGTTCGATAAATCACGAATTTTATCATAAATGGCCATTTCTAAATTGTATCCAGGGATGGACAAAGCCAAATATTTCACTCTTCCGAATACATTCGAAATTCGGGGCAAGTTCATGTGGAAAATTTACATAAATCACTTTATCATAATGTTGATCATATCTAAAACGACATAAATATGAAGGTTATTGTTTACTCTGTGTTGTTTGTTATCAGTTGAGATATCATATGTTTTGATCTGCTTGTCTGACGGCTCGCAATCTGCAATTTTCAAATAAAACATTCTAAATTATTACTAAATTCAACATTTTTTATATTCGAATAATCTAATCGTTTTGGACACCTCTGTATCCGGCCATTGGCTTTTTGAGAGTTTGCTAAGAAAGTACCTACTATTGATGATGAATCGGATTTCGTGAAGTGAATAAAATCCTAAATCCATCCATATCATCTTGACCACTTCAAATTTTTTTGACAAAAAATTTTTTTGAAGATTTATTAGAAGATGTTCCAAATTTATAAGATGCGCACAGCCGTTTGGTACCTAATGGTGTCCAATTTTTTTCAAATCAAATCAGTCCAAAATTATTATAAATTTGATTTTTATAAATTCATCAATCAGAAATATTTCAGCGTACTTTCCTCACAGTTGACCAAATACGCCTTCATTTGTTTTCCGCTTTTTCAACTTTATGACATATTGAATATAAATTGACTTTTGTAAGCTCTTGGTATAACATGGCCCAATTCAACATATATATTTTATACTTGAATATATATATATATTTAGAATTTAATAGTAGATTGTTTGGTTTGCCAAATATTTTTGATTCTCTACCTGCTCTTTGAAATAAGTTTCACAACAAATTAAGATATAATTAGAAAATGATTTATTATTTTGCACCCATTGTTTTGAGGTTGCGGTGCATCGATCCCCAAGTTTCAGTTTTTTTATTTCGATCCTATTTGACGATATTTATTTAATCCTAATTAGTATCTTTACAAATGCAAACAATACCTACTTTTTACCTTGTTTGGTATTTGTTTATATGTCCTCCATGTCCTGATTTATTCTCCAATACATATTCCTGCCTTTGCATTCTTTACTAATAATGATTAAATAAAAATTATGTTTATTATTTTTGTGTTCTATTCAATTGACAATTGCACTACTTGGCGCATTGTTTATTCCCAGTAAGTAGATTCATGTTGACGATACATAAAGCACATCGCCCGGTGTAGGCAAAATGATGTGATCAACCCGAAAATCACAGATGAACTTATGCTGACGATATGTTCAACACTATTGAAAAGAATCTGGAATGGTTCCTCGAGCATATCTATAGATTAAAAATAGTACTGGTAGAAAAGCCTTTTGTGACAATCGCCCTCCTGGAAGATGAGAAATCATCTACTCGTATATATTCGGTACAAAGGCTGCGGTTAATCTCTTCTTTAATTTAAGTTATCCGATGTACGAACATTCAGGAGTCTTTTGAATAGAGCTAGAACTTTGTTTTTGGAGAAAAGGAGGCAAATTTGACGTCTAGTAAATAGTTGTGCTACGAAAATATTTTAAACTACAGCACACAACGGCCTCGATCCGATTGCGCGTACTACTACTATACGTTATGTTCGAGGGCTTGTGAAAAAGGACATAAAATTTTGAAGGTCCCACGGCTCAAGGATAGCCCTGAATTATTGTAGACGATTGTCTAGTCGCGTTTTCAATAGAGTTTTTCTATAATTCATAACGTCGCCAAATAGCGTTTTGCTTGCTACTCTTGCTATGCTTTCATATCTTCAATACCCATACTTTCTGGAAAAATAGAAATTAGTCATCGATAACAGCTGTTCAGGCGAAATAGACAAGACTAAATATAAATAAACAATGAAACCCGTTCTATTTGATAGCGTTGAAGATGGGCAGAAATTTTTTATGTTGAGTAATCCGGCGTCCATGATCAAGTAATTCGGTGTCATTCGCTTCAACCTACATTCTATTGAAATCAAGAATTAGCCTATTTGTGTATTTTCACAAACGTTTTGCTATACTTCAATTGTTTATTCTATGTTTAAAACTGAGTTTATTACAGGAATGACTGAGTATAAATATGTCTTTGTTAGCTGCCAAGTGCAATTCAGTACTTCACATGTCATCCAATGAATTCCGAGACTGATACGCCACAGTTCAACCGCAACATTTTTGGTAAAATCATTACATAGTTTCCATGCTTAGAGACTTTGTCCTGATACAATATCGAATATTATTAAGGGGCGTTGAATAATAAATATCTTTTTATTTCTCAGTGTATTGCATATTGTATTTGCAGGCTTATTGGTGACATAGAGATGAAGTGTATGAACAGAGATATAATATTCTCATGTAAGATTTTTTTTACAATTCCTTTGAATTAAAATAATATTACTGTTGTGCTTGTATTTAGTAGTTCAAGCATCAACTACCTCTATGCAAAATAGGTGTTTGTTTGCTTGCTGATAAAATATAAGGTAGTAGTTTTCTCTTTCATTTTGAGGAATTGAAAATTTGCAATAGATTGATCCGTGTATGGGGATAGGACATATATATTTATCCCGGGGAAAAATAAAGGCCATTAGATGGCTAAATCATGTGGCGAACCAATCCCAACAAGCATGAAAATTTCCACCTTATAGAGTTTCGATGCTCGTGAGAAATACAAAAATAAAATTGTCGTGTGTGCTATGAATAGCGGAAATTGGTCAACAAGTCTATCGCAGCTTAGTTCTATTCAGTAATGATTCAAATGGCCACGTTGTGAGAGAGAATCATTCAATTTGAGCGCGGTCTGGCAAAGAGCATACATGTAGGTGTGTTGTGGGCATGATTTCCTGTTATTAGTTCGCGCAGTATAGCGCGTCGTTCTATTGATCTTTTTTTCTTACGCGCATATAGATTCCTGTGTTGTGAGGTCACCGTTTCGAGTTATGAGCAAGGCATTCATGTACTTGGAGTGGAAAAACACAAGCGCCAAGCCGTATTGTTATTGCCAGCGAATTTTTTTCTTTATGAGATCCAAGATTGCAATTCAACTTATCCCTTCGTAGAAGATGGCGCCATTTCTTACTTTAGCTCGTCGATATTATTGTAATGTACTTTGACGCCTAATCGTCGCATCGATTTTCTCGTACTTATGTGAATTAGTCCTCATGATCACTGTGTTTAATGGCGTTTGAAGGGCATGAAAACTGATTTTACTTGCTGTGGGTGTGGCGTGACGTCTTTTCTCGTCGTGAATTTTTCATGAATCCAAGATTTGACGCATAACTGCGTCCGTTGTTGTCTGGTAGTTGTTGTTTCAGGTCAGTTGCCCAAGGGGTTCGAAAATGTTCTCTTTGAAGAAGAGTTTGAGTTAGTAGAGCTCTTATTCCGCAGCGGCAGCCGCGCGGTCTATGTCCTTTCGCTCTTATGCACCTCAACTGATTGAGTTTTGGTGCGATACCTGGACGGTCTGACGACTGGACCTAGTTGTACGAATTGGATAACTATAATTTTATGCCTAAATAGAAAATAATTTTTATTCACAAATATTAAGATTGCCTATCTTAATTCCATAGACTCCGTAAACTTGATTAAACGTACAACTGAGGATGATAGCTTTTTGAATGAAATATTTAATATTAATAAAACACTAATTAAGTTACATTTAAATAGCAAAAGTATTTAACTCTATTTAAACACATTAAAAAATAATCGTAATGGCACTCAACAACGGAAAACTCACAGTGGAGGAAGAAGATCAAGGTAGCGAGGATTTGGGTTATGCATCAAATATGGGTCTGACTCAAAAAGCTGCGGAAATGACTCCAGAAAAACAGCCTTTGAAGGCGCTTGGAGAAATTGACAAAGAGGATGGTACTGTGAAACGGCGCAGAAGTCGCTGGCAAAAAGTTAGACCGAGAGGCGAGAAACTGCTGATGACTCTGACGATTGCAGGTAAATATCGTATTTGTTGAACGCGCGTATACTCCATAATATCAGGCCTGAGTGGCTTAGTTGCTAGCTTGTTTCTGTCGAGCTAAAACTTTTTTGCGGCCATTGTTCGGGGCCAGTTGTAATGACGCTAGTAATCTTTTACTTGATTTTTTATACAATGAGGTTGATACTATATGTAAAAATATACTTTATCCATCTCTTAGAATTGTCAGTCGTTATGAATATAAATAGGTTTATAAAAGCGTATAGGACCAATGTAATCGCTTGATTTTTTAAAAGGTGTGTTACCATGATGTGATCTTCTAATTAGAGTAAACACACACGCAAAATAGTTTATGGATTAGCTAAGTTCGTAATTGCTGACTTATATTTTAGAAATACACAACTTGATTATTGTTTACAACATATAAAGATAAATTTTTCTTGGATAAGACTGGCACGACTTATATTAAAGATAAATAATTTTTCAAATATAGCAATATAAACAAACTTACGTGCAATTTCTGAATTAAAATACGAAATTAATATTTTATTGATTTGGAAATCAAGTAAATGTTTAGAAATATCCCGAAAATCGATCAAGTGATGGAGATCTCGGGGATTCGATCAAGTGTTGGCTTTTCTTGTTGTCTTACTGTCCCCAACAAGAAAAGTTACTGGGGTTTAAAGCAACTTTATTCGCGTTGAGAAAGAATCGCTTCGTGTTGAACAAATTCGTATTTATATACAAAGAACACACCCGGCATTCGCTATTGCGTTTTAGCCGTTTATTAGTAATAGCTGTGTCTAATAATATTTGAAGTATGATAATAACGTTATTCATTGTAACATTAGAAAACTGTCTGCGCACTCAGCCCCACGGGATTACGTCATTAATGTAATTTGCGTATTTTGAAATGGTTGGGATGATAATTTATCAGAGTATAATATATATCTATTTTTATGACATACTCATCAAATGTAACTCTTGTATCAACTCCCATGTGTTTGTATCTAAAAGAAACGATGTCATGACATTAGCTTTTTGAATCTTTGGGGAATTTGCAATGACATTTTTTACAATCAACACAATTTTTTTTTCAGGAGTTCTCATCGGTATTGTGATCGGATTTTCCGTTAAATATACTACAGAAACTTCAAAAACAACGATCACCCTCATCAAATTTCCAGGAGAATTATTGATGAGAATGTTGAAAATGCTGATCATTCCTATTATTATAACAAGCGTTGTAACTGGTATGTTTTAGCTTAGCATGTGGCTTTTTCACCAAGTTCGTAGGAGTTCATAGTCATTATTACCTCTGAAGCGACTTATGAAGTGGTCTGTTTATTGACGGGTGTTTTGGAAACACGCTACAAAAATGTATGTGTAGCTGCGGCACGAAGTGTCGTTGCTGTTAGTATATGCCCATATATAATTATCAATCAATCGGCAGACAATTATCGTGCATTTTTCTCAAAATCAACAAACTTCGAAGTGAGAAAGCTGGACCAGAAAATTTGAAAAATGAGAGACATATATAATAGAACCATCGTTAATGTACTAAGTATATAAAGCTAGCTATCGCATAAATGCTACCCAAAACTTTATCTGAATTTATCGGTCTTGTTTTTTTACCATAAACACGATATTTGAAAAACATTTTTAAGTACCGGGTTTTACGTCAATGGTTCCTATAAAATCCTTTTTAAATGCCAAGATATATATAAACCGAAACACCATAAATTTTTTATATCACCATATACGTCCGGCGAATTATTCTTTATTGGCATGTTTTGGGTATAAATATAAAATAAAATATTCACAGGTCTTCTGTCTAATCATATGAGAACAGTGGTAATATGAAACGCACAGTGAACCTAAACCAATTGTATTTCATATTCACGATAATTCGACAGTAATCAATAGATTTAGCGCCTTAGGTATATTGGAAAACTTGTTTCGTAAAATAAATAACACATAACACTAAGTGATTAATGGTGGGAGTATAAAACTTCATTGACGATTATTGAAAACTGCTAAAAGTGTGGAATTTCACAAACACTCGTGAATTTGTTCGTTATTCGTGCCACCAACGAATCAACATTATTTGACAAAATAACACCATAATTACTAGTCACTCAAACTTACCAGAGTCATCTAATTGGAATAACTTTGACTCATCGTCGACTAACATCCACTCAACACAGTGATTGACTCGATTTCGAGACTCGGGGTTTAGTACTTCTACTCAACGCAGATTATTACCCTGGTTGGGTCTAAGGTTATTCATCCCTCTAGGCGACATTTCGATATAACTTTGAGGCATTTGTGTATCATAATAAGTGGCGGCATATATATGATAATTTCGTTTTCATTTTAGGACTCGCAAATCTGGATATGAAAAAAAGTGGCAGAATGGGAGCTCATGCAATTATATACTATCTCGCAACCACCACTATTGCCGTTATTTTGGGCATTATTCTGGTTACTGCTATTCACCCTGGAAATAAAAGTCAAAGAGATTCTTTCGAGCTTGGTGAAAATAAAAAAGTTTCAACGCTGGACACTTATTTGGACCTTCTGAGGTAAGTCAGTGATAGTTATGGGTTAGATTTTATGAAAATAGCTCATAATAACATTCGAGAGAGCGAGCATTAAATTTTTTTCAAAGAATAACTCTCATTTTCCGTTTCACAGGAACCTTTTCCCGGACAATATCATTGCTGCATGCTTTGAACTGGTATGTATATTATTTATTTAATTAGAATTTTTTATTTTTTTTTATTTTGTATATAACATATCAGTGAGGTTTGTTATTTTTTGTATTTCATTCTATATGTTCGAAAAGGAGTATCAATATGAGGTATTTATATTGTTTGAAAATTGATCATTGATAAAACAGCGCTTAAATATATGTATTGCATATCAACCTCAAAAACACACCGATAGAAAATTGGCTTTTCCGCATTTATTAAGATTTGTTGGGTTTTTGATTTATATCCAAGAAAAACATATTACTGGCTAATAACGGAGATGTTAAATTATCTAAGAGTATGTTTAATTTACAAAAAAACTTTGTGAGCATAATTCACAGAATTGAACAATGTTGAGAGATAGATATTTTTGGAGCTCAATTAATTTAAAATATTTATGATTAAAATTTTATTCACACGAAACTATGGTATCTAATTATTTTTCTCTATTGAAGAACTAATAATAATTTTATTTAGAGTTTTATTCCTTTTTCAAATTTCGAGAAATGACAAAAAAAAAATTTTCAATGATTAATTATCAAACCGTGATACCTCATATTTCTGATACTGTATGTAACCTGTTATGTATACACTTGTACTGTCTGTCTAAAAATTAATATTATTCAAACCGCAACTTACAAATTTTGAAAATTTGCAAAAATTTCAATTTGATGAGGTTTTGATTTATCTAAATTATTTGCTGCACAAAATGTTCAACCACGTTCCTTATGTTCTGCTTAAAACTCAATTCAAGAAACGCTTTAAAATTCTTTCGGAACAATTAGATATAGATAGCATATTGAGGTTTAGTGATTATTTAGTAATTAAATTATCGTTGTACTTTTTTATTTTAGTATTTATAATTAGTTACAATTAAATTAATTAGGAGTAATGATCAGTAATAGGAGTCAGTAACTTTAGTTTTTGTTAGACAGAAAAATCCTTGTTTTTCAGTACTGTACATGCTGCATTGTTTTGTTGCTATTTTGCCTGCAGATATTGCCTACGTACAAACGAGGAAAACAAAACACAAGTTTGTCATCCAGACAAACTTGGATTGGGTAGAGTCAGCAACCGGCCCGGCCCGGTCCGGCCCGCGTAATCAATCGGTAATTTGGCCAGCAGATTGTTTCATACTGGCCTAGGTCTCTGCTACCTTCTATGCTTAGCAATTGTGCAAATTAGTCATCCGAAAATGCAATCATTTACTTGAACGTTGAGTCAACCATACATCAGCCAATTTCGTCCCAAAATTATTTAAAGAATTTTCTGTCGAAAATGCAATCATTTACTTGAATGTTGAGTCAACCATAAATCAGTCAATTTCGTCTTCAAAATTATTTAAAGAATTTTCTGTGGTTATGGTTGACAGGCCAGACGGTTCTAACCTTCGAAAAAAAAGTACAAAATGCGCATTATGCTTTAAAATGAATGAATTGTTATAGTTCACATTCGTTTAATTTACTTCAATGAAATTACGGCCAATTTGCAGTCGACCGCATTTTCGGTGGCTAATTTGCTTTTTTTGCTGCTCCAAACCAAAATATAGTTTCCGGAAAGATGTTTCCGGACTTGATTCTTACAAGTATGACTCATTTTCGTCAGCTATCACAATTTATTTTATATTGATTGTAGTATGCATTTGTAAAACAACAGTTTCACCTGACAAAACTATTATAAGATGTCAAGGTAAATTAAAGCAGTTATTAATAGTATATTGCCATTCAATTTTTTCCTATACCCACGTAAAATTAATATACAATATCTAACGGAAATGAATAAATTCATTCTTATAGTATTCAAATAACATCGATTCAATTCACAATTGAATTTCATTTTTTTTATTATCATCACAGCGTGCGAAATGAATAGAATGCACGCTGCTGTGGTACCATAAAACATTTCATAACAGCAATTCGAAAAATTTTGTAATAATGCATCGTCTGATAACGATGGAGGTAATTACATGTTTGCATAATTTCAAACAAACAATTAAAATTGACATGTAATAATGAAATTCATGTAAACCGCTATTGCTACCTATTATCAGATTATACGATTTGCGGTACATGATGTTATTGGCCGGGATACAAGCCCTTAGATATTGTGTCGTCAATGGATTATAGAAATTATCTATAAGAGCTATATACAATCAATGCATTTGATAATAATCTAGAATCTTATTAATATAGATTTATTTATAACGGCAATGTACCTTTTTAGTCATAATTGAAGACATTCCGAGGCCGACAAATATGTCAACAAGCAAACCATAACTAGTCATAATAGGGCGCTTCTAATCTCGTTACTCAAAATTCAGATTGTATTTCACCTTATAAAAATATCTTTATCCTGCCAATCATTATTATTTTAAACAACCTGTTCAACTTATTTTCATAAAACTAAATGTTACATATATGTTAGTGTTACGTATTTATACTAGGATCAGATAAAGTTGCATTTGTATGTACTAGTGTTAATTTTATTATTAAAAATTTTTCATTTACCATTTCTTTGCGTTACTATTTTTATCCTTTTTTTAGGTTCAAACTAAAGTTACAGAGGAAACGGTGCCAGTGAGTCTGAACACTACTTTTGACGATGTTTTCAACAACACCCTGAATATTTCCATAGCGGCAAACGAGAGTCTGGTTCGAAATTCCACAAATTTAAAGATTTCCAAGAGACTTGAGCGAATTCATAATCCAAATGTTTTAGGTATGACTAATAATAAAATTTGGATCTTTTGTACAAAGCTTCCCTCACTAATGCAAAAATGTCAAATTTTTTTGTTCCCATATACGACTGACTAGTTTTACTTATATAGCAACCGCCCTTAACGCCTCATTGTTAAGGTACGACCTTGCGTAATAACATAGGCATTCTTTCGCCGTTATTTTACTCGTACAATGCCATGACGTCAATTTCCCGCTCAAAGCATTGTTCCGGTCGGCCAACTCGTATCAGATAACGATATAAAGCATACAATGAAGTGTGTCGCTACCACGCGGGAGACTTCACGTCTACCCTGTTATCTAAAAAAAGGCGGGAATTCAGTAGGTGGATACAACAACCAACTGTAATATTACACAGGCTTCAGAATTATTTTGGTTGCAACCACGCCATCGCATGTTATTCACTGTTTCATGTAATCGATATCAATTCAGCTATAGTAAATATGGCACGGCATCGTTTTCACGAAAGCGAGGACTGCGCCTCTTTCGCACTGTAATCGGCGTTGCTCAGTACAGCGTCCAACGTAAACTTTGTTTTGTTGTGGTTCTTCATCGATGCATGATTACCACATTTCCTGTTGAAGCGTTGTGATGCTGTTGAGATACACGGATGCTAAGCACTCTGAGTAGTATCGAGACCAGCTTTTTTAATAACGAGTTATGATACACATCCGTTGCAACACAAACTGTGTTATAACGAAGTATAACATAGTGTCTTGTGTCTTTTATTATTTAACAACAAAATGTACATTAAAATAAAAATAAATTTTCAAAAATAACAGTTGATTAATATTCCTACAAAATTCTGCAAATTCCATACCAATAATTGCATCGCTATGTATCGGCGTCTCGCGTTTGGGGGACTTCTATCTCAGATTTGTCCTCCTAAAAAGAATGTTGGTTTTTACATTTGAATTGCCAATTACAACATTATGTTTACATTTAGGTGTGATCGCATTTTTCGTGGCTTTTGGCATCACGTTGTCAAGTCTTGGAGAGAAAGGAAAACCTCTTGCAAATATATTCAATATCTTGAATGAAATATTAATGAAAATGATAATGATTGTCATATGGTGAGTTCTCTCTTTCTACTTTTAAGAAAAATTTCAACATTATCATTACTTTATGTGCCTGAAATATTTATCCAATGAAAGCGTGATTTTAATGAAATTGAATTATAGTATCTAAGACTCGTTTCCCTAAATATGGTATAATTTGAAATTCATAGGCATCAATTATTTGTCACCTAATTACCTGGCAATTTTCAGCAATCAAATATGATTTTATGAATGATTTTGATGATAGCATTGAAATGATCAGAATAATATAGTTTCTGAAATGTATATACATTGAAAGTTGATCTTTTTGTA